CCTGGAATGTCCGACCTCCTAATTGGGAAGGTGCCGCTGCCCAGCTGGTTGATGTCCTCGTTAGAGTGCAGGCTGACATCACCGCTATCAAAGAAATGCGATGGATGGGACACATAAAGGAACGCAAATTTGGTGTGGGATTTGTGATGGAAGTGAGACTGCGCCACTGAGTACTATCATTCAGCCTGGTGGATTAACGTCTAGCCACAATCCGCATCAAGGTAAAGTTCTTCAACATATTGCCCATTTGGCCCCGACGGAAGCGAAGGTCTATACAACCAAAGATGCTTTCTATGAGCGCTTGGAGCGCACCTATGAGAGTTGCCCCCGCCACGATATCAAAATCGTGCTTGACGACTTTAACGCCAGGGTGGGCAAAGAAGGTATTCTTGGTACTACGGTCCGTAAATTCAGCCTCCACGAGGAAACATCCCCAAACGGGTTGAGGCTGATCGACTTCGCCGGGGCCCGAAAAACGGTTATCTGTAGTACTAAATTCCAGCATAAAAAGATACATCAAGCTACCTGGCTGCCTYCAGATCGAAAAATCACCAACCAGATCGATCACATTGTGATAGACGGAAGACACGTCTCCAGTGTTTTAGATGAGCGTGSGCTCCGAGGTCCTAACATCGACTCGGACCACTACCTTGTTGCAGCCAAGATTCGCCCCCGCCTCAGTGCAGCAAAAAATGCAAGCCATCAAACACAAGGAAGGTTCGACGTCACAGCAGACAGCCGAACGATTTTCTACTCGGCTTGCACTCCTTCTCTCTGAGAGCACTCGTCAACAACTCTATATTAGGGAACTGTGGGACGGCATTTCAAACTCCTTACGTACAGTTGCAACCAAAACTATTGGTTTTCGGAAAGTGCAAAAGAACAGCTGGTATGACGAGGAGTGTCGTTTCGCAGCGGAGAGAAAAGAGGCTGCCTACCTTGCACCGTTACGATCGATCACAACACGTGCGGGATGGGATAGATACCAGGAGTAGAAGAGAGAAGCGGGACGCATTAGCAAACAGAAACACGCCGAAATGAGCGAGTATAAAGAGCTTGCTAAGATGGTCGACAGGGGTAATGCTCGAAAATTCTACGAAAAAATGCGGCGGCTTACAGAAGGTTTCAAGACCGGAGCATACTTAAAATATGAAGAGAACACTTCCCCAGCCCGCTGAATAGCAGTGAGCGCACAACACCAGCAGAACTCAAACCCGATTCCCCAATCGATGACGCTGGATCAGACGTTCCATTGTATGACTATGAAGAAGTTCGAATAGCTCTATCGAGCGTATTTTGTGAAAGATTAAAGCCCACCGTCAACAAACTGATTGGAACTTATCAGTGCGGCTTCAGACCTGGAGAATCAACAACTGATCAGATATTAGCCATGCGCAAAAAAGTCGAAAATAATTTCGTCTATCTTGGAACCAGTGAAAACACCATAAAAAATGTCCGCCTGAAAATCCAACGCAGGATAACTCTTGAAAACAAGTGCTACCTCGGAATAAGTAGGCTATTGAAAAGTAAGGTCCTCTCTCGACGAAATAAAACCGAACTCTATAAGTCACTCATAATTCCCGTCCTGATATATGGTGCAGAGGCTTGGACGATGACAAAATTTGATGAGTTGACGTTACGAGTTTTCGAGAGAAAAGTTCTGCGAAAGCATTGGCCACCATGAATATGGCATTGAATGGAACGATGAGATGTATGATACATACGACAACATTGAAATAGTTCAGCGAATTAAAAGAAAGCGGCTACGTTGGATAGGACTTGTTGTCCGCATGGACGAAAAAACTCCAGCCCTGAAAGTATTCGAAGACCTCCACTCCGTTGGAAGGACCAGGTGGAGAAGGACCAGGCTACCCTTGGAATATCCAATTGGCCCCACTTAGCGAAAAGAATAAACGACTGGCGCGCTGTTGGTAGATAAAGAAGAGGAAAGCTCACTCAACCGTCCCACGGAATCAAATGCAAACGATTTTTCCTCTGTCAATTTAAGAAGCTTAAGATAATGATGGTGAAATGTTACCAATATTTCGCTCTTTCTGATTACCTCGAGAAATACATCACCTTTAAAACGCATATAAGTGTTTTTGTTTCAGATGATCCGGTAACGGGTTATGTATAACGAAATTTTTTCAAAGCCCTTCTAGAGATTCACCGGCATAATCTTATTTATTAAGAACTTTCATTGAAAATTATATTTCCTCAGGTCGCCGCAAAAAAAAACACAAATACATCCTTTTTTTTTGCCTTTAAAATCTGACTCCCCTTAACGGCTTAACAACRCGACCAATAGTTAAACTTAAGCACATAGATTCATAAGATTGAACCCTAAGACAGAGCACGGAGTTCATAGAGGGAGCTGTTAGTGTGCAAAAAAAAATATTAAGTTTATTAATTAAACGCGGAAAACATAATATATGAAGTTTAAAAAACGTATATTGAAATACAACATTGTAGATGTAGATGATGTCTATGACGATATCTAAAATACATTTCGCTATATTAATAACTACATATGTATATGTATAATGGAAATTCAAAATGCATTTTTACTTTATTGGAACGCTTTTACTATCTTCACTTGTATGCGTGACAATTAGACGTAGTACTTAAAAATAAGAAAAAAATTTTAYTTAAGTTACTCCTTTCATAGGCAGACAGACAGTCCCCCGGACAACGTAAGGTGAACAAAACTGTTATATTATTTATGAATTTCTATCAAATTTTATATTTTTAATCAAGGTGATGCTCATTATTTTTTCCATAGTTGTAGTTTGATGTATTATAAATTTGTTGCTGAGTGACAGATTATCAACAAGGAGTTCAATTTGACCAAAAATAGCCGCAATTTTTGAGGAACAGTTCATTTGCACGATGATAATGTCCCATCGCATCAAGCAACGATTGTGACCGAATTTAAAGCCAAAAACGCAATAAATATCATCGATTACCTACCGTGTTCACCAGATGGTTACAATCTGGTGTGTGATTTTTTTCCTTCTTAAACTGAAATTGCAGATCCGTGGAACCCTTTTTAGTCGACCGAAGGGATTAAAATATAAAACAAAATTCGCTCGAGGAGCAAAAGACCAACCCACATAGTATTTATAAAAAGTACTTCGAGGACTAGAAAATCGTTTGCATAAGTGTCTTAAATATATCTAGTGGGGATTACTTTGAAGGCAACAAATTAAATATTGAGAGAGATTAATCTTTGTTTAGTTTTAATTGAAATAATTAGTAGTCGAGTTATATAGTTTGGAACTACTTTCTATGTCCTCCTTCAATTCTAATTACATCCTTTATATATTTATAATTCATCAGAGTGACGAGTGGAGTTGAAATCCGGTTGACTGTATGTCTGTCCATCTGTCCGTCCAATCTGTAAATTGAGTAAAAATTGCGATATCTCTTATCTTTAGTACAAAAAAATATTTCGAGTTTATAGATGGACGTAATCGGACCACTGCCACGACCAGAAATCGCCATTCGACCGAAAACATATATCATGCCAGAATACCTGTGGGACAAAATGTTTTCTAATAACATTAATGTATATATCTCCTAAACCACTTAAGCTACAACAACAAATATTATAAGAACTCCTATCAACATTGAGAAAATTGGCGAAATCCGATGAAAACCCCGTTCACTTCCCAAATAGCGGTACTGTTAAAAATTACTAAACGCGCGATAAATCAATAACTAAATACGCCAAAAACATTAAATTTTACCACCGAGATGGTGTGAGAGAACATTATGAGAGTTGGTTTGAAATTTGGACGATAAGCGTGGCACCGCCCACTTTTCGGTGAAATCCCATGTCTCGGGACCCTCCCAACTGGTTTTAATAAAATAAAAAAAGTACGTGTCATTCTTCATACATTTTTGTGCCATATTGTGAAAATGGACGACATCAGATAACAACCATGCCTATTTCCCATATAGCACCTTTTTAAACTCCACTTCATTCGTCCAGTTTCCAGTACACAAATCAAGAAGCAATTAATATATATTATATATTTAGACCCCGGTACCTATAGTTGACTTCTGATCGAAAATGTCGGTCAATGTGTGATTTATATAACTGAAATTAAGGGATAATCCTTCTCTTACAATGGTATGTATGTATGTCAAAAACGGGTTGAACCGTACCCATACTTCCCTTAGTCCCCATATACTTAAAATAAAGATTTTCGAACTTCCGGGTGACTTTGTATCGAATATATCGGCCAATATGCGAGTTATCCCAAGAGAAATAAGAGAGCATGTTTTCAACATAACAGTCCATCTTTGTGCCAAAAATAGTTAAATTTGAGCGAAAACTTGGCCTAGTCCCTATATAACTAATAGCAGGATTTCAACGCATCCGGTTGACTTTACTCTATATGATTGGTTTTACACAAGAGTGCAAGAGTATAATATTCGGTTGCACTTGAACTTGGTCCTGTCTTACTTAAATATTTATGTATTAAATATTTTCAAATATTTCATATATGTATATAATTTCATATATGTATATGTATATATTGTATATATTTCAACTGAACGTATGGCAAGTCAACTAGTTTTTTTATAAACAAATTAGTGGTGCCACGATGTAGTTAAATTTGATGTTTGTGACAATATATTTGTTTAGGTTATTAGATAGTTATCACACTTTAAGTACTATGTAAGATCCAATATGGTGAATTATTAGATAATTTGCGGCTTTAGCATGATATAATAATTTTAAGTTGCTTTTTTGATTTGGCATAGGTATAATATTTTATAAGACATTTTAACTATACCTATATATATGAAGGTGGTGCAACGGTCTCTTTTCAGAGCTTTAAATGTTAGATTGGGTTTAGTTTTTACAATTGCCCTTAGTTGACCTAAGGTATAATATTTTTTCTTCATGTTTAATCTCACATTAAATTTTAAAAGTACATCTGGAGATAGTTATTATATAATAAGAATATACAGACAGCAAAAATATTTACCCAATATTCAATCTCCTTATTTTTTAAATCAAATAGTACCAATAATCGTCCTATTTTTTCCGGAAAGTATTCTCTCTTATATAAAGAGTTTGATTCTATTTCGAAGTAATACGGTCGTTTGGTAGTGGACGCATTAAATTTAACGTCTAATTCGGAAGCGTTGTGATAAGCCATAAACTGTATGATGTATTTTGTACATCCAGCGCCAAAATTTAAATTGGCTAGAGATGTACTCATTTCGATCAAATGTTCTAAATTGGTAGAGTAGATTACAAACAATTTGAGCTTTATTAGCTCTTTAATCCCTCGATAAAAATGGACCGTCATTGTTAAATCTTTTTCCAAAAGATAATGTCCTATATTGAAAGTTATTGTTTGGTTATTTCGGTCGTCTGGTCGTAATGGTTCATTTTTCCACATAAATTGTGTGTGCACTACCTTATTGCCACTATTGTCAGCTCCAAACCACGCAAAAGAGGCATTTGATCTCAAAGAATTTAATGTTGTTAAATAACTGCCATTTACTACTAAATTACGTTTGGGATATGATAATTCTGCCAAAACCTCACGCCAGCTGTTATCATTCTGAAATTCAAATAATAAATCATTATCAAGTAATTGATTTCCATACTAAATAAAAATTACCTTATTTGAGATTACAAGGTTATATCCGATCCAAGCGGTTTTCGATAGTTCCAGTTTACTTCGACGATTAATTTTATATTTTGAAGATATTTCGGAGGTCGTCGTTAAAATTATAGTACGATTTGGATGAATAACCAAAACCTTAGTTTCTTTGTCATTTCCCGATATAACTTCATGCAATTTCCATGTAATGTTGTATTTTTTTGGGTTGCCAAAATCAAAAACCTCTAGATGTTTTGTATTTAAATAACAATTTTCCTTGCGAAAGCCAGTGCTATTTTCGAAATAAATACCCACAGGTTTAATATTATTCTCTAAAAAAATTTCAGTTATTTCTTTAAAGATTGTCAGGTTTTGCTCTGAACGTTTATATGTTCCATTGAGAAATATTTTTTCATTGTAAAAAACTTTAAGAATACCGTTTTCACTTTTTTGTTTTTGAATTAGCTTATATTTAATGTCAGCAAGATGGCGTGTATTTAAGGGTACTAYTAACGAAACGTCTCCCTCAAAAACATTACTTAAGTCATGTTGTGAACGTAAATGATGTAATTTCATGGAGGTAAAATCTGTTGGCCAATCAACTCTACAAAACCTTTGGAGGTATCCTCTGAAATAAGTAAAGAAAAAATTATTGAAAACGAACTTACGAAAGATGAAAGTAACTGTATTTTTTAATAAAACATTCTGACATTAGTACTGTAGCAGCTATAGAAGTACTATAGTAGCTATACATTTTCTAACCAAATGATTATCGCTTACTTTTTTTCATTATCATCATCATCCACGATATAAACACAAACAAAGGGATATATTTAATATATTAAATATTTCACCTAAAGAAAAAGTCCGGTAGAGGGTGAAAGTGTTTATACTAAGTATAGGACACCAAAGTATGCAGGCGCATCTGCAGCTTATCTTTTCTAAAATAACGATAACCTTAATAACTTCTGATATTACCATAACTCAATACCCAATTCGTGATTTCACTGCCACGATATTTAAAATTATCCTAGTATTCTTTTGTTGCAGTGTAAAAATAAACCACATTTTGAAATTCCATATGATCCTTTGTAGCCGAATTCTTGAAATTACGCAAAACCACAGATTTTGAAAATTAGCGCTTCATTAGAAAAGGGACCAGACGCATACACTGTGATATAAATTTTTTGTGAAAATCCTTTTTTTGTTATTGAAGGTCACTTGACGTCGTTTGACCCTTTTTTAAAAACAATTATAACGCAAGCTTATTTCTACTATTTTCTCTTTCGCAATGCTCAAGCGCAGCTGTGTTTGCTGGTTGATGAAATTTTTGGCCTTTCAGGTGCCGCTGGTGCCGGCAGGTGCCGCTGCCCAGCTGGTTTTGTCCTCGTTAGAGTGCAGGCTGACATCACCGCCTTCAAAGAAATGCGATGGACGGGAGAAGGACTGAGACGAGTGGGTTCTTTTGGAATTTAGTACAGTGGCCAGTGGCGAAAATTCGGTGACGGCTTGACGACTTTAACGCCAGGGTTCACTTGGCACTTCAGTCGGTAAACTCAGCCTCCGTGACGAAACATCCCTAAATGGATCGAGGCTAAATGACTTCACCGGGGCTCGAAATATGGTTATCTGTAGTACTAGATTCGAACATAAGAAAATTCATCAAGCCACATGGCTGTCTCCGGATCGAAAAATCACCAACCAGATCGATCATGTTGTGATAGATGGAAGACACGTCTCCAGTGTCCTAGATGTGAGTGCAGCTAAGATTCGCACCCGCCTCTGTGCAGCAAAAAATTCACGTCAACAAACACAAAAAAGTTTTGACGTCAAGAAGCTGCAATCACAACAGACAGCAGAACGATTTTCTACTCCTGCTCTCTGAAAGCACTCGTCAACACCTCCAACCGAAACCAGCAGTTTTCGGAAAATGCAAAAGAACAGCTGGTACGACGAGGAATGCCGTGTCGCATCGGAGAGAAACAGGCTGCCTATCTTGGATAGATACCAAGAGTAGAAGAGGGAAGCGAGACGCATTTGCAGACAGAAAAAAAAAGAGGCCGAAAATCGAAAGTGTGAAGAACAGGCGAGGCGACTAACAGAAGGTTTCAAGACCGGAGCATACTTTTTTAGAACCCCCAGAGGTGTTCTGGTGCTTAAACCTGCCTAATTGCAGTGAAAGTATAACGCCAGGAGAAAGCGAACCCGATTCCTCAATCGATGACGATGGAGCAGATGTTCCACTGCATGACCATGAAGAAATTCGAATAGCAATTACCCTTATCTGAAGAACAACAAGGCGGCTGGGGCCGATGGATTGCCGTCCGAACTATTCAAACACAGCGGCAAAGAGCATGCGACAGCTTSTTTGTATAATATTTTCAGAGGAAAGCATGTTCGACGATTGGAATTTAAGTCTGCTCTGCCCAATCCGAAAAAAAAGCACGACCCTACAATCTACGCCAACTGCCGTGGGATAAGTCTTCAATATTTCATATAAGGTTCTGTCGAGAGTACCGTGAGAAGGATTAAGGCCCACCGTCACGAAACTGCTAGGACCTGTCAAAATCAACAACTGCTTTTGACAGCATGAAAAGGAGCTGCCTTTATGTCACGATTTTGGTATGCCCGATAATCATGATATTAGGTACTAGGCAGGTTTTTCCACAATTTTATCCATGTATCTTGGTTAAGTAAAATGCACTTTTTCTTATTCACTACGGTAATACACATATTGGCCGATGTATACGGCATAAAGTAAATCAGAAGATCGCCATTTTTTGTATGTATGAGGCATAGGACGGCTATGAGAAAATAGAATTGTGTTATATGCGAAATAGACGTGATTGTAATCCGATTTCGCCAGTTTTCGTACTTAACATAGGAATATCAAGGTAATATAACAAAATAAATGCGGTCGATATTAGTAGATTAGGTCCTGAGACATGAGTTTTTACCTAAACGTATTTTGTTAGCTACTATAAAGTTCGCTTGTACCATCTTAGATGTAAAATTTCATGTCTCTTTATGTATTGATTTATCGCGCTGTTTTTAATTTCAAACACATCCGTTATATTGGGGGTGGGCCAGCTTATCATCCGACTTCCGCTTTTACAGTGCCGGTAGGGGTGCTTAAGAGATTTGTCCTGAGCGAATTTTGGTATTGCATCTTAAGTGGTTTAGAAGGTATGTGCATTAAATCTCTTAGAAGACGCCGCAGTACCAAATTACGGTTTTGGATCTCAATGTATTGCTTAGTTATAACATTTAATATATTTAAAATCGCAATGTTTATAAACATCAGTGTATAAAATAAAAGGAAGAACAAGGCATGTGGCGAATTTTATTGTCGAAAATTGCAAAAAAAAAAAAGATTCTTCATGTTTTTTGTTGTAATGTAAACAGTTTTAAGAAGTTAATAATACAACTGTTTCTCGATTTGGGAACAACAATATTCAAATATTATGCACACGGGAATGAGTCAAAAGTAGTGTTGCTTTTATTGGCTCCCCTCAGAGTACAAGGTGTGTTCCAAAGTAAACAGGAATCTAGCGCCCCCTGGTGGCGACGTCTATATGTTGACTGGTACGTTAGAACGTGCTACTTTTATCGATTGTCCAGTGAGARTTTTATGATATTTTATTTCTTGGAAGTGAAGTAATTGAGTTTTAAGTGTCAGTATGTTTGTATTATCGGTGGGAAAAAGAGCCAACATTAAATTTTGTTTTAAAATTGGTAAAACTTTTACCGAAACGTTTCAATTGATGGCACAAGTTAATGGCGAAGATTGAGTATCCCGTAGGAGAGTGAAGGAGTGGTTCCAACGTTTTCAAAGTGGTCGTAAGGACAAAATGACTATCAACATTGGGTCTGATCAAAATCCGAGATAATCGGAAACTCCCTCGAAACTGAGCGTGAATTCATCAAAAATCAGCGAAATCATCGTTGAAATTCATGGAAATGGAATTGAACATCTCCAAGATATCGATTTATCGCATTTCGACCGAACATTTGGACTTACGAAAGGTGTATGCACGGTGTGTTGCGCACAAATTGACTGACGACCAAAAATTGCTCAGAATCCAACATTCGAAGGACGATTATTTGACACATTTTAACTATTACCCACACACCGTATTCACCTGATACGAGTATGACACCGCGCGACTTAAGCTTTTCCGGAAAATTGCATTTGCCCATGAAAGGAAAGCGTTTTGCAGACGTAGAGGTCAAAAAGTTTGCACTGGCATACTGGCAGCCATATAGGTCAACGAGCTAAAACACTCGTTCGACATGCTTTTGAACTGTGCAAAAAGCTGTATTGAAGCAGAAGGAGACGATTTTGAATAAACTAAATTGATTTTCCGAAAAAAACATTTGTTCTGTTTTTTTTAAGTCCTGTTTACTTTGGGACGCACCTTGTACAATGTTACAAAAAAATGTTAAAAGCAAGTAAGGGAGGGATAAGTTCGGGTGTATGCGAGAACATTTTATAACTTTGCAACTTGATAAAATCAAAGTCAGCCAGTTGTTCGAAAATCCTGATTTTTTAACCATTTTAGACACAAAGATACACTGTTGTGAGTACAGTACGCTTTGTATTTGGGATAACTCACCTACTGGCCGATATATGCGGTAAAAAGTCAACCGGAACTTCGAAATCTATATATTACGTATATGGACTGATGATGATGGGAAAATATTGACCYGATTCAACCCATTTGAATTTCTCAGCTTTCTTAATACTATCAGCAAAAGATTATCTGTGAATTTCAATTATAAATCTGTACTGGGATTCATATATTCTTTGCTTAGGGGCTTTTTATTGCATTTGGCACTTCTAAGGCGTTGGGTAGCATACTCTAAAGGATATGATTTAAATTTGTGTTATATAAGAAGTAGGGAACTGTAACAAACTAAATCCGATTTAAATAGGTAGGCCGTGTTGTCGAGATATGTGATTTTTCCTAATAGTGGGTGGTGCCACGCTATTTGTCCATTTTTGAGTGCGACTCTGTTTAAGCCTTCTCATACTATATCGGAAGTAAAATTTTATGCCTCTGGCATATTTAGTCTTTGATTTATCGCGCATTTATTAGTTTTTTAACAATACCGTTATCGCTACTTCGCCCATGTGCCCAACTAGAGTTTCATATGTTAACTTAATGCTTAGTTACTTCAATTTATAGGTTTTGTGGGCGTGGCTGTGGTCCATTGTGCCAAACCAGAGTTTCATATATTATATTAACTTAATGCTTAGTTACTTTATAGGATTTCAGTTAATTGCGTTTTGTGGGCTTGGCTGTGGTCCGATGACTCCCATCTACATACTTGCACTATTGAACCCGCGTTCTAAGCTTTATCAAGATATCGCGATTTTTACTCATGTCACAGCTTGCACGAATAGACACATAGGGACGGACAGACAGACAGTCACCTAGATTTCAACTCGACTCGTCTTCCTGATCATATGAATATACTATATACAACCCTACGTCTATCTCGATCAGTTTTAGTTGATACGTACAATCGTCCTTTTGTGTTTCTGAATATATATCTTCTATATACTAATTTTATATACATATGTATATGAAATAGAATTTTCCATAATCATATCTTGTTTTAGGA